ATAGTGATCTACAAGTAGATCACTAGACAGCGGTCAAAATTATCCTTAGTGAGGACTAAGCAAATGTTTCTTGGATATGGGGGTGATAAAGAGTTCGTCGTAAAGAGTTACGTTGATGCAAGCTTTTACACCAATCCAGATGACTCTAAGTCTCAATCTGGATACATATTGAAAGTAGGAGCAATTAGCTGGAGTAGCTCCATGCAGAGCATTGTAGACATAGAATATTTGCAAAATACATACGACTCTGAATGTGACAGACCCGTTGACTAAACTTCTCTCACGAGCAAAAAATGATCACACCTTAGTACTCTTTGGGTGTTAATCACATAGCGATATGAACTAGATTATTGACTCCAGTAAACCCTTTGGGTGTTGGTCACATGGCGATGTGAACTATGGGTGTTAATCACATACCTATGTGAACTACTGGTGTTAAATCACATGGTGATGTGAACTAGATTATTGACTCTAGTGCAAGTGGGAGACTAAAGGAAATATGCCCTAGAGGCAATAATAAAGTTGTTATTTATATTTCCTTATATCATGATAAATGTTTATTATTCATGCTAGAATTGTATCAACCGTAAACTTAGTACATGTGTGAATAGATAGACAAAACATATTGTCCCTAGTATGCCTCTACTTGATTAGCTCGTTAATCAAAGATGGTTACGTTTCCTAACTAGAGACATGTGTTGTCATTTGATGAACGGGATCACATCATTAGGAGAATGATGTGATGGACATGACCCATCCGTTAGCTTAGCATTATGATCGTTACAGTTTCATTGCTACTACTTTCTTCATGACTTATACATGTTCCTCAGACTATGAGACTATGGAACTCCCGAATACCGAAGGAACACCTTGTGTGCTATCAAACGTCACAACGTAAAAGGATGATTATTAAGATGCTCTACAGGTGTCTCCAATGGTGTTTGTTGGGTTGGCATAGATCGAGATTAGGATTTGCCACTCCGTGTTTTGGAGAGGTATCTCTGGGCCCTCTCGGTAATGCTCATCACTATAAGCCTTGCAAGCAATGTGACTAATGAGTTAGTTGCAGGATAAAGTATTACGGAACGAGTAAAGGGACTTGCCGGTAACGAGATTGAACTAGGTATGATAATACCGACGATCGAATCTTGAGCAAGTAACATACCAATGACAAAGGGAATAACGTATGTGGTTATGCGGTTTGACCAATAAAGATCTTCGTAGAATATGTAGGAGCCAATATGAGCATCTAGGTTCCGCTATTGGTTATTGACTAGAGATGTGTCTCGGTCATGTCTACACAGTTCTCGAACCCGTAGTGTCCGCACCTTAACGTTTGATGACAATATGTATTATGAGTTATGTGTTTTTGATGACAGAAGTTTGTTCGGAGTCCCGGATGAGATCACGGACATGACGAGGAGTCTCGAAATGGTCGAGACATAAAGATTGATATATTGGACCATGTTAGTCAGACACCGGAAGAGTTTCAGGAAGTTTTGGGTAAAACCGGAATGCCGAAGGGGTTACCGAAACCCCCCAAGGGAACTAATGGGCCACCATGGGCCTTAGTGGAGAGAGAAGAGGGCAGCCAGGGCAGGCTGCGCCCCCCACCTTGGAGTCCGAATTGGACAAGGGAAGGGGGGGCGGCGCCCCCTTTCCTACTCCCTCTCCCTCTCCTTCATTCCCCCTCTCTTCCTTGTGATGGAATCCTACTAGGACTAGTAGTCCTAGTAGGACTCCCTCTCCTTGGGCGCGCCCCTAGGGCCGGCCGGCCTCCCCCTTGCTCCTTTATATATGGGGTCAGGGGGCACCCTAGAACACACAAGTTTCTCTTAACCGTGTGCGATTCCCCCTCCGCAGTTACACACCTCGATCATACCATCATAGTGCTTAGGCGAAGCCCTGCGCCGGTAACATCATCATCACCGTCGCTACGCCGCCGTGCTGACGGAACTCACCCTCTTCCTCAACTGGATCAACAGCACAAGGGACGTCATCGAGCTGAACATGTGCTGAACGCGGAGGTGTCGTATGTACGATACTTGATCGGTTGGATCACGAAGAAAGTTCGACTACATCAACTGCGTTATTGAAACGCTTCCGCTTTCGGTCTACGAGGGTACGTGGACACACTCTCCCCTCTCGTTGCTATGCATCACCTAGATAGATCTTGCGTGATCATAGGATTTTTTTTGAAATTACCACGTTCCCTAACATGTATCTCTATGAGTCCGGATAGTTGTGGTTTGGTGGGACCGAGATGAACTTTAGAGTTTTGACATAGTGGAATGTGGGGGAAAGTTTGAGGCTTTTAGAGGACTATTTTAAGCACTTGAGTGTGAGACCATTATCATAACCTCACCCCTTTTATTAGTATCGGCTTTCCTATGGACTTAATTGATTCTGGATCACTCAAATATAAAATGATGAGTTTTAAAGATTGGCCAACACTTGTCCTTAGCATCTTGAGGGGTTCCATTTCACATCCCAAAGGTTTGCCTATGTTGAACTCATCCTGAAATTCACTCAAGGAAAACATTAGTCAAACAATATGTATTTTGACATGAATTACCAGAAGCACCAAGGAAGTGGGATGTGCTTTCATATTGTCCTTGGAATCTATCAATGATGTGTATTAACAAGTAACTTGTTTGTGAGACTATGTATTGTATGATGACTGTCCTAAATTGTCCCTGTACTACTACTAGGAAAACCCCTATAGGCAACCACATAACCATGATCCACATAATGGCTAGTCGAAAGGGTATGCGGACTCGCAACCGATTAGACAAGCATATCACATGGTGATGGCCTGATCTCACTGGCCATGAAGCATTGGATGCTAGCCGGATAATATGGACGCAGAAAGATCTAGAGTCGGATTTGACGTAGTCGGATCCGGGTCCAAATAAGACCCAAGTCAGACAGACCCAACATGAGACACAATGATAGGTCACGTGTGAGTCTCTAGTACGATATGTGTTCTGTTTCCTAAGTCCCGAGTTGGCGCATGGACTTGGGATGGTGACGGCCTGCTTAGGACCGATCAAACACTACTCTGTAATAAGGTGGTTATAAAGGTCGGTTTCAGGCTTGTCTATATCCATGTCGCGAGACATGGTCGAACAAGATGTGATTTCCCCCTTCGATCTGGAGAGATATACTTTGGGTCCCTCCTGTGATCCAATCTGGATAAGCATGACCATGCGACATGGATTATGAGATAATCCATTTTTGAGGTCGGCATCACTGACTGAAACAAGAAAGAGGTTGGATTGCAACAAGGAAGACCGATTTGCCTTGAGCTCGATAATATATATCGTGAGGTAAAGAGAGCAGAAGTGTGACATGTGGTATAGGTTCACCAAACCGATTTCATTGTCTTCTTGGTGGTCCGTGTGTTTTACTTCAAACGCTACCGACTGAGCAGGTCAGATGTGATCCGACCCGCGACCAAGCTGACTTGAACCTAAGAGGGCGCACACTTAAGTGAAGGAACCTACGAGGTCGGGTCTGACTTCACAAGTCAGATGTGATCTGACCTGAACTTGGATCTAGGCCAAGTAGACTTGTGGACAGAAGGATTCCTGAGGGGCCCATATGTTAAGTCTGGGATGGATGCCTATATATAGTGGAGGTACGACACACGTATTCAGTTGACCGCTTCGGTGTTTGTCATTAGGGCTTTGCATATATTGCAACTAGCCACCTCCACTTGCCACCAGCCGTGCGATCGGACCTGGCAGTCTATCAGACGGTGTTCCTTCTGCACATGTGGATATGGTTAGAGGCAGCACACCTACGCTACTCTGCTGAACCTGCTCGAGGGGTCCGGCAATCGAGCTGTGCAAGGGAGACCGACGACGAGGAGACGACTCTGTCCCAAACTCTTCTTCCACTTCACTGCACTATGCATCTAGTGGTATTGATCTCGTGATTCATCTTCCTTAGCATATTCCTAATACTCCTGATTGATCTATGCATAGAATTTTTTTGTCTATCTAGGGCACATCTAGATGTGCCCGAATTATTGCACATCTAAGTAACTTAATTATGCATAAAAAAAGAAAATGGCCACAGAAATCTTCATATGAGGTCATTGAGATAAGACTTAGATGTGCAATACTTATGGCACATCTAGATGTGCTTTAGCAAAACTGATTTTTTTTATATTGCAGTCGATGCATCTAGCGTAGCCCAACACCACCACCACCACGTCACCCGCTGTGCCGCCGCCACCATGAAGGTCCACCGCCGCGCTACTGCACCTTAGCCAGACGGCGCTGGTTCAGCCAGAACACCCAACAAGGGCGAGAGATCCCATTGCCACCGGCCCGACCAGGCTTCGCCTAGCCTAGCCCTTTGACGGAGGCGAGGGAGAAGGAGGAAAGGACAGCGAAGAGGCCCAGCGCCGGCGGCTAGGGTTTCCTCCCTGTCGCTTGCGCTATTGCTGGCCTAGCATGGCGGGTCTTAGTAGTACTAGATCATACCACATGTAAAAAGAGGTACTAGATCCTACCAACAAGTCATTGATGTGTAAAATACGCTTTCATTGAGCAGAAGTGCCGGGGGTGCTAGCAGATCTTGTTCCAATGGACGGGCAGCAATAGCGCAATGCCAAGACGAAGTTTACTGTCCAGAGACCAAGTACTTAAGACATGTGAGCGCACAAAAGGAAGCAACGTATACTTATTTTTTCCAAACAAAAATAATAAATAAGTGTAGCCTGAAACATTATGGTATACTGAATCCAGCAAACTTCGCAGTTACGAAGGCCTTTTACGGAACTGATGTTGCTTAACATAAAAATAGAATGATTATCAGGGTTCAGAGATTCACTAATCATCGATGACATGCTCGGTAAAATTGAAACTGCTGGCGCAACTATTGCTATTTTAAAATTGAAACTGTATATATACTTGTAGGGAATAAACCTGTTCTTCTAAATGAGGAAAGGCTTCGCCGTAGCCGAAACCAATTCTCGCCCTATGATATCCTCACAAGGATTCTGATTGAGAGTCATTGTTCTTCTTTGGTCTAATCCGAGTGATCTCGGGGTCAGCAGTGTGCTGCTTGCACCCTCGAGGGCCATAGTGCTCCGAGCTCTTCCGCACCACCTTCCGGCACAGAGCACAATGATGAACCTGACATCCCTCGCAGAAGACATGGTTGTTGTTTCCCAGCTGCTCACATCAGAGACAGAGTCTTCATTTACCAGAACCAAGTGAAAAATAAACTACAGATATATTCAGATCACAGTAAAAAGGATCACTGATCCATATGATATTCGGAAGAGACCAAAACTTCACCTTGTAAGTTATCAGGTGGCAATTCGGGCATGGATGCGGTTTGTATCCTCCCACTTTCAGTTTTCTCTGTAGCTCTTTGACAGCGTCAACCAAATCCACCTTTGCTGTCCGCTTCTCATAATCGATTCTGCATTGTTCACTTTCAAAGGGGACCATAGGTTCAGATTTGGTATCCAGAGAATAGCTACCAGACAGCATATTTGGTAGATCACATTTTTATCAGAAGAATGTACCTTGTATGAGCAGGAGTTAGTGGCTTGCCACAGCCATAGCAGAACAACTTACCACAGTTCTTACAAAGCATGTGGTTGCAGCCTGACACACGTGTGATGCCGGTACCACAATGCGGACATGGAACACAAGAACGAAGTATTTCCTTGATACTAGATAATTCATCCACCAATTTACTAGGTCCAGTATCGCCTTTGTTTAAGTGGCGTACCTTTTCACGTTCCTGTACAAAAAAACAAAAAAAAGCACACTCAACACAGTGATCTCAATATTGTTCTCATTGAACAGAACACCACAATGACAAATGATGAATAGCCCTAACAGAAATGATGGAACTTCGAGCGTCCATTTTTCTAGAAATAATATCATATAAGTAAAAGGATGTGTTCTGCTGAAAAGAAAATTAGTTTATGAATAGTTACTGTATCCAGAATACAGATATAATATATACAAGTAGTAGAGTAATATTTGTTCTAGAATGTGCGGAAGGCCTGGGCATCTTTGCATTAAGAAGAACGCCTTGATGAGGCAGCAAATAGAGTGATCATGTAATGTATTTTCTGAGTAAATTGCACTTTATGCCAGTATATTGTGTTGCTAGTTGCATGGACTAGATATGTTCAAATGTTGCAGATAACACCAGTTGGGCTACAAAATTTTGCACTTTGGACCAGGTTCGGTCGGTACAAATACGGCATCAAAACCAAATGTGGTCAAGAATAGAGAATGAGCTGGTAGATAATACTTACTACAAAAAAAGAGAAATTTAGTGCTTAGAGGGATTCTGAACCTGCAAGGAGAGAAGTTTTTCTTCTGGAGTAAGGCATCTCTCCCCTATGTGACGACGATCTCTGCAGCGGGTGCAGAAGCTGAAGAGGCACTTGGGGCACTGGGCGTTGTCCTCATCTTCCAGGCAAGCTGTCTGACATCTTGGACAGTAGGCTACATCAGCCATTGCGTCTAGAGTCCTTTCAAGTAACAATCTTTCCCACCGTTCAAAATCTGCCTCTCCTAGCAGCCTCTTCAGTAGATTAGGAGGAACAAACCCTCCGCATTTGTCATCAGGGCACACAATTTTCATGACTGATCCTTCCTTCACATGCATCTGTGAGTATGTCTCCATACAATTCCGGCAAAAATAATGACGGCATGGAAGTTTTATGAAGTCGATGCCTAGTAGTAATCAAAAGATACAGATTTAACTTTTAGATATTCCAGACTCAGCACATGATGGAACTTGGATTGTTCATGCTCATCTTGGCAAATATAGAAATTTTGTGAAGAAGCTCAATATTTATTTTGCAGGGAAGATAAGCTTCTTGTTGAATAAGTTATCTTTAGGTGTTTGAGCTGTACCTTGGTTCAGCACAACATTCTAAATTACTTTGATTTATTCACAATATATACAGTTGGCAGGGGCACCATGCACCAAATTCGTTAGTTTCGTCTAGGTATGGGGCACAAAAAATGGTATTTCCTTTGTCAGGTTTAAGTTGTATATAAACTAACTGAAACAAGTTTGAAGTAATATTAAAATACTATTTATCTTTTAAAATGATTATTTGACTGCGGGTATGTGCAGATTTTATATGAAAACAGTATGGTATGCGAATAGATAATACCCTGCAATATCCAAATTCGAGTGTTATCTTTGAAATGTATGTGCATTGCAAAGTGTGTTAATTCTTATAATCGGGTATGTACCCCGGGACTAAAATTTCCGAAAAATATATCCAACTTTTGGATTAGATTTGTGCATTTGAAACCATGGTGCCCTGACTCCATGGAGCCCCAGTACGGTGTCAAATAGATACCGATAATATCATTAGCACTCTCCCTTACTGTTCAAGAACAGCAAATTTAAGTTAGGAGTATGAAAGAGCTGGAGTGCAAAATAACGGACGGTAAGTCTTGCAGAAGTTAATCTAATACATAACATGGTACAACAACGAGTACTGGTGGGAGTACATGAGCATCGATGAAGCATCCGACTTACCTTTGTACTCACTGAAACAAATCATGCAAACATGAAAGCCCTGAAGAAAAGATTCTTGGCATTGCTCTTCATTGTAGTTGATCAACTGTTGAACAACATCCTCTACAGACAGAATCTCTCCAACAACGCGAACATCCACATGATCCATCGTACTTACAGAATCCCGTATTACTATTCCGTCATCAAAACCAAAATGAGAGAGCGTAGAGCTCTGCAGCCATTGCACCCACTCAAAAATAACTTCCTGTCCAGGTTGCTGCGCCCAGAGCGAGTCGAGCATGTCACAGAGGGAGGAAATCTTCACATTATCCAACCATTGTACTGCGAGAGTAAAGTATGGAGAATGATGGCTCGGGTAAGATGGAGGCATAAGGCATGTCAGTGATATTGGAGCCAGGTGTTCGACACTGAATTTGGTTGGGTAATCATCAACACCCGGGAGTTCCACAGACACACTGATACCATCTGGAATTTCGCAATATACATAGATCTGCAAAGAATTGAAAACAAAAGGAAAAGTGTAACACAATCTTTGTTGATTTTTTGGTAATTGCTGGGTCCTGGAGTCTGGAACCAATTAAAACAACAATAATTTCCTCAAGAAGATAATAAATATATAAAACAGATATACCTGGAAATACCGTGGTACAGAATTTTCACCAAGAATGTTTAAATTGTCTCCATAAATTGCCTCCAGTGCCAGCATCTATGCAATCATATACATAAGTGATCATATACCAGAGAAAAATTACGACGGTGGAGATTTGAAATTTACTTTCGTGTCCATTCATCTAGTTTCGAGAAAACCAATACTGCATTTAACATCTGTTTTTTGACGCGTGTTTTGGCAAAGAACTTTCTTCAGTTTAAGTCTCGCAGAACAAAGTACTCCCTCTGTAAAGAAATGTAAGAGCGTTTAGATCACTTTTCTTTACAGAGGGAGTATGTAGTACTAACTTATATATATCTGCGGTTTTGTTTTACCAATTCCATCATTGTTTTTGCATTCTAAAGGTGAAGGAAACTTGGAAGTGACATTCTAATTCTGCAACCATCTTTTCTAGACCATCGACACAGAGCTGTGTGCCGTATGCAGGCTTTCACTTCAAAAGCTTTGTTTAGCTGGTCTCACGATATTTCGCGATCTTACTATTTGTGAGCCTGTTCCAGTACTCCGAATCACAATCTACAGACTAGAGAACGGGTGTCCATGGACGCATAGTTGCAACGGGTGTTCGTAATTTCCAGTTTGCGAATTGCGAACGGCCGGGATCACGAGAGGGATTCGCGACGCAGTTCCGGGAAACTGGCCCGAGGGTTAAATCCCTAGCGAGGTAGCAGTGGGAGTACCTCGTCTTGCTGGAGCTGGTCGTTGGAGCGCAGCTGCTCGTCAGGCAGATCGGGCTCCTCCCCCTGCTGGCTGTCCCGAAGCGCCATCTCGTGCAGCATCCCCACTGCCTCCGGCGGCGGCGAGAGGGCGCCGCCTTCTCCGAGGGAGCCGCCGTGAGGACTCTCCATAAGCGGACCGTGGGTGGCGGCCGGAGCGGTCTTGGTTGTTGCTATGGTGCGCGTACGGAGGGATTTGGTTTGTGCTCTCGCCCCGATTTGGTGTGTGTACTGTGTAGTAATGTACACGGTTGAATACGAATCGCAACGGATACGAATTGCCTATGGAACCATGTCTATAGTCGGACGGGTTCAGCAAAACACGAGTTCAACTAAAGTATCACCGGTTTGAACATATTGAAAATTGGTAACATTTGAGCCAAAATTATTCCGAAGCGTTATACCGGGTCTAAGATTCTTTTTTTCTCTCCCCGCGCGAACGTCTTTGTAGCCATCCAATCAGCCGCACAAATTTTGAAGCAGGTTCCTCGCCGCGTCACGGGTTGTGATCCATTCGCACAGACAAATGATAGTTGTGAACCTTCTTTCTCCTACCGGAGGAAGAGACAGATAGATCCCCTTCGTCCTCCATTTTTCTTGGCCCTCTCACTTGCTCTCTTTTCCACTCAGGCGACCCATCAGTTTGCTCCATCCCGACCGGACCCCTGACGAGAGTGTTGCGACGGCTAGCCAGCGGATCTCAGCGGTATGGCGCTAGTGCGTGGGCTCGTGGGAGGTGTGGTGCGGGGGCAGAGACTCCCGCGTGTTGCGCACGTGAGGGGGGTGGGGGTAGCTTTTGGCGAGTGTGCATGTGGTGGAGTGGCAGATGATGGGGCTTACCGCGGAGCTCGACGGAATGACGCCATTACTCGGGCTTGTGGTCGCGCCGTCCTGAACAGAGGCTCACGGGCGTAGGTGCGGCGGCGTGATAATCTATGCACGCGGTGTGCGGTGGCCAAGAAGAGCCGACTGCCCGCGAGTGATGACCCACGAGTATAGAGGATCAATTAGTCCTTTCGATAAGTAAGTGTGCCTAATCCAACAAGAAGCAAAAGGAATTGATAGGCGATTTTCAGCAAGGTATTCTCTACAAGTGTTGCAAGATAGATTTGATAAATATTTTGATAGCAAGATAATTGGTATAAGTAACAAGTAATAAAGTAGTAGGGTGCAACAAGTGGTCAAATCCTTAATTATGCTAAGGATAAGTTGATGATACTTCTTATAGTGATTAAAACACTCTTGAGGACGCACAGAAGTTTCGTCAAGTTATTTTCACCATGACTCATTGACTTCGTGTTCATTGCCTTGATAAGTGTTATGTGGGTGGACCGGAGCTAAGGTATTGTTCTTACTTGAAGAAACACCTATTTATAAGTATACCCCCAGGTAAGTATCTGCAAATACAAGAGAAGTAATTAAGATAAATGTAACAATAGTATTAATAAACATATAAATCCAAAACTGTCCCTCACGGAACAATTCATAACTGAGGTTTAGGCTTCTATCACTCCTACAACCCATCATCTACAAACTAATTACATGATGCCTTAGCTAGGCCCAAAGATGATGAAGTGTCATATAGTCGACGTTCACATAACACCACTAGAGAAATAACAACACAACATAATATCAAAACATTAAACGATGATCAACTTCACATGATTACTAATAAGACTTCTTCCATATCCTCAAGAACAAACAGAACTACTCACAACTCATCTTATTAAACATGATCAGAGGGTATATGGTATGAATATACGATTAACAATCTGAACATAATAATATTCCACAAAGTAAACTAACTAGTGTCAACTACAAGATGTAATAAACACTACTAGCACCCCCAGGTACCAATCAGATGTTTGATACAAAGATTAAACATAAGAGATGAACTAGGGTTTTGAGATGAGATGGTGCTGCTGAAGATATTGATGAAGATGATGATTCCCACGATGATGAAAGGTATTGGTGACGAGGGCTTCAATTTCCCCCTTCTGAAGGGAAGTATCTCCGGCAGAATTGCTCTGCAGGAGAGCAAAAGTGCTCTTTCCCTAGTTTCGCCTCGAGACGACGGCGAAAAGTCCAGAAAATCTTCTCTCATTTTTTTCTAGGGCAAATAGGAATTTATGGACAAAGGAAGTCAGGGGAGTCACGAGGGCCCCACATGGACAAGTGGTGTGGTTAGGGGGTGGTCATGCCACCTGCCCATGTGGCTGGCTCGTGGGACCCCTCTGGCATATTTTTACTCCACAATTCTTCATATATTCCAAAATAATTCTCCAAAAATCCACACTTCATTTGGAGCTCCAAAGAATTGTTATCTCTGTTGTTGCTTTTTCAGGTCAGAATTCTAGCTATCGGTAATCTCCCTCCTTTAATGTATCTTGCATTTTAGGAGAGAGAAAAAGCATTAGAATTGCATCATATTGTGTATATAACACTGAAATAAGATAAATAACAGTAGCTAATTATGATGCAAAATGGACATATCACGAAGGTGCACGACAACCGATGTTTCTTCTTTGTTGTCGACGCCAACGTGTTCCTGATATGGCGGAGTTCCAGCCACGGGGCGATTGGTGCAATTGCTTCTGTCGTCGACGCTGCTCCAAGGTTGTAGTGGACCTTGAGGTGACTATGGCGCCGCTCAAGCCCTCATTTTGTTGCTGGTTGTGTGATGTTTTGGAGGTCCTCGAGGTGTCGAATGAGTTCTACATCATGTTGTTACATGCTATCGCCAGTAGTCACGCCGTTGTGCCCTACTCCCGCTAATGGTGTAATGGCCCAGGGGTGCCTCACTATGTCAGTTGCCGGCCTGGTGGCCCAGCCCGAGGACCCTAGGTCGGTTCCACCTTGGGCCACTATGGGCGACCTCGGCATTCTAAAAGAGGACTCCGGAAGCCCTGTCGTCCAAGTCTGGGAAGACGGATCCATGGAGGACTCCCCCTCCATCGACGTGGCCGACTAGGTTGTGTAGGGTCCCCGGTGTGTTATATAAGCCAGGCCTCAGGATAGTCAATAGATCATCTAGAATCCCCTGGTTGATACTTGTACTTTCTATACCCTATCGCTATACACACACAACAAGAGTAGGTTTTTACCTGCACCGAGAGGGTCCGAACCTGGGTAAACTCGCCTTCTTGTTTCCCCTTGTTGGAAATATGCCCTAGAGGCAATAATAAAATGGTTATTATCATATTTCCCGTTCATGATAAATGTTTATTGTTCATGCTAGAATCTTATTGACCGAAAACTTAAATACATGTGTGAATACATAAACTACACCATGTCCCTAGTATGCCTCTACTAGACTAGCTCGTTGATAAAAGATGGTTAAGTTTTCCTAACCATAAACATGAGTTGTCATTTGATAACGGGATCACATCATTGGGAGACTAATGTGATGGACAAGACCCAACCATAAGCTTAGCATAAGATCGTTTAGTTTATTTGCTATAGCTTTCTTCATGTCAAGTATGTGTTCCTTAAACCATGAGATCGTGTAACTCCCTGACACCGAAGGAATACTTAGTGTGTATCCAAACGTCACTTCATAACTGGGTGATCATAAAGGTGCTCTACAAGTATCTCTGAAGGTATTTGTTGGGTTGGCATGGATCAAGACTGGAATTTGTCACTCCGTATGACGGAGATATCTTTGGGCCCTCTCGGTAATACAACATCTTCAAGAGCTTGCAAGCAATGTGATTAATGAGTTAGTCATGGGATCTTGTATTAAGGAACCAGTAAAGAGACTTGCCAATGACGAGATTGAACTAGGTATGGAGATACCGATGATCGAATTTCGGGCAAGTAACATATCAACGGAGAAAGGGAATTGCATACGGGATTAACCGAATCCTTGACATCATGGTTCAACCGATAAAAGATCTTCGTGGAATATGTAGGAATCAATATGGGCATCCAGGTCCGCTATTGGTTATTGACTTGAGAGGTGTCTCGGTCATGACTACATGATTCTCAAACCCGCAGGGTCGCACGCTTAATGTTCCTTGACGCTAGAGTAGTATTGGAATATTTGATGATTGGTAAATGAATGTTGTTCGGAGTCCCGGATAAGATCTCGGATTTCACGAGGAGTCTCGGGATGGTCGAGAGGTAAAGATTTATATATGGGAAGTCATATTTTTGGGTTCCAGACAGAAGTGCAGTTTTTTCGGTATTGTACCATGAAGTTTCTAGAAGGTTCCAGAGGATTCCGGAGGGGTCCGGGAGGCCACGAGTGGGTCCACCACGATCCAAGGTCTAGCATAGGTTGAGGGGAGGCGCGCTGGTCTTATTGGGCTAGGCACACCAAGTCCTCAACAGCCCATGTGGCTAGGGAAGGAAAAAAAGGAGTCCTGGTAGGAATAGGATTGGACTTGGAGTCCAAGTCCTCTGCCCTTGCATGTGCCCTTAGGCTTGGAGGGGCTATTCCCCACGCCCCTCCACCTATATATAGAGGGGAGGGGGCACCCCAAGAGGACACACCAAGCCCTTCGTGCCCCTCTCTCTCCCGCTACTCCATAGTTCCTCTGTCCTGATCGTTCTAGTAGCGCTTGGTGAAGCCCTGCTGAACTAGCTCCACCATCATCATCATCACCACGCCGCCATGCTGGTTGTGATCTCATCTACTTCTCTGCCTTCTCTTGCTGGATTAAGGAGGAGGAGACATCATCGAGTCGCACATGTGCTAAACTCGGAGGTGACGTCCATTCGGCACTAGATCAGTTGGATCGTGATCGGATCGCGAAGAGTACAACTACATCAACCGCATTATATACGCTTCCGCTTTCGGTCTACGAGGGTACATAGACACACTCTCCCCTCTCGTTGATATGCTTCTCCAATATAGATCTTGGGTGGTTGTAGGAAATTTTTGATTTTCATGCTTCGTTCCCCATCACCCCTCCGATCTAATCACCTCTCCGGCCAAGCCTTCATTTCATTACTGGTTATGCGATATTTTGGAGGTCCTCATGCTACCGAATGAGTTCTACATCATGTTGTTACATGCTCCCATCAATAGTTACGCTGTTGTGCCCTACTCCCGTCGTTAACGTGCTTGTCCTATCCGACGGATCTGAAGCTTCTCATGCAACCCCATGGGCTCATGACGCATCCTCGAC